AATATCACACAAATATGCAATTGGAATCACAAAGACTCATGTAAGTGTTAAAGAAATTCATCATTTAAGTATATATTTGGCTCAAAATAGACTAAATATGCAAAGCATAAAGTTCAAAAACCGGAGATGCGTCTTGTTGTTTCAATATCCAAAACTTCCAAATGAAGAATACATATATTATGTGCTAATTCTTTGTGATTTATGAAACAAATACCTTTTGTGAGATACTTGAGTAGCTAGGTGGGGTGACACGCGTAGTCAACACTGGTCCATGTCTATTTTAATATTCATCTCCAAAGAACGAGAATGAATAGATTATATGGCAACCCGGTTAACTGTATCGGTTTAAAAAGAACTATATATATTTCTTTTGAGTCTTGTCACACATCACCATACTCTTTTAGCTCACTTACTCAATCTCTCAACATTTTACCTCAAACACTCCCTTTCAAAATATGTCTAACCTAGGGATGTGTTTCATGGGTAGGTTGTTTATCCCAGATCTCTCAATAACACTAATAATCTAGTTAAGAATAACCAAATTATAGTGTTTTAACGAAGAAAGTTATGAATGTTCAAGAGGAGATTAAGAACAATTAAGAACAGTCTTGAGCTTCAAAGGTTTCACTCTTATTATAAGAAGAACGTAAAGCTATTCAAGCGACTCGTAAAAGCGACTCTTTTTACAATAGCTCTAATCACCTATTTATACTAATCAACTAATAAGAAGATAACTATCTAATAAGACATTTTAGCTAATCTTCTATTAACAGATAACGTTTATCTATTCTATGGATAAACTTTAGTATTAAATATAAATTAGAAATCTAGCTGTTGACATGTCATCTCCAGCTGTCATTCATAGTGTGATGAATCATCCTTATCTTTAGATCTTCATTGTATGCTTCTGGACGATTTGCTGGAGAATTCACCAAGTGTTGATGACCAGAGGATCGATGAGGATGTTCTTTCTATCGCATCCCAAATTCTCCATCGGTCCTCTGGTTGTACTCTAGACTTAGCCGATACTGCCTTGATGTCTTCATCGGTCTTCTGGTTCTTCATCACTTATTGTTTTTCATTACTTTTTACATTATGAGTTATGGGGTTTAACAATSTCCCCCTAAGTAATGAAATAACAAACATATGCTAGTCTAAAGACATTTGTGATGAACATAGACTAATCTAATAGAAAGGCATCAATTTCCAAATTTTCATTGGACGATGAAATTCTTAGAAAACTGAAATCAAAATACATCAAGGCAAAAAAAAATTAAGTCATCACGAGCTACCTGAATATATTTCTCTGAAGCGTAGGAGTAGTCTTCGATATGCGATGACTGTCGATATCTCGTGAATGAGTCGACTCCCTTCTTTTCTTGGCACATAATGTCTGCCCAGTCTTTCTCGAATGACTTTTTGAAACCATTCAAGTGTATCTGTTGAATACTTGAAGGCCTCAGTCAGTCTGAAGAATTTTTTGATCTCGAACTCATTCTTGTAAACAAGTCCAAGTTCGGGTTGAGTTATAACTGAAGCAGATCGTATCTCCTGCAAGCCTTGGAAGTCATCGTTTGGAGGAGCGCAGGAAAGCCTTTCAAGGCCTAGCCGAAGAGCTATTTCAAAATCGCTCTTGGCTCTGTGGTTTACCAGGGTTTCCATCGTTTTTACCACTGCTTGGTTTGCTATTCCATATCTGATGCCGTGGTCTTGCCTCTGAGCCGTATATGTATATAATTCGATCAAGTCATATGGGTTGAGGTTGATGAGGTCATTCTCGTTGAAGACGCAAACTAACCCACGTGCTCTCTCCACAGTAAACTCGACGTATCAGATGGCTCGATTGGCAAATGTCTTTATTTTCAGATCAATGACCCTCCTTATCCCATCATTCAAAAAGACAACCTCGGGTGCTTGAGTGGTCTGTCTAATGAATCTATGGTGTAGGAGGTCCATGGACCTAGGCGATAAGATTGGAGGGTTGATAGTCAAACTATCATCGCGGTCTTGGTAAAGATATTGATGAATATTTTCTAACAAAATTGGTTCCCTGGGCGACAAATCAGGACGTCTCCTTATTGACTCCATGCTCTGTATTATTTCGTTAACCAAGCTCTGAGGAGGTTGCCTTGAGGAAGAGGGAGCATCCGCATGCACCGCAGATTGATGGGTTAAGGGTTGTGTATGGGTTGGTGTTGGTTCAGGTTGGGTTGATTGGGGTTCATTTGGTTCAGTTTGAGTGGTTTCTGGTGCATGGGATTCGGTAGGAGATTGTGGTTGTTGGGGTGATAAAGGTTGTAGTGTCATTGGTTCAGGTTGCATGGATAAGTTGAATGGTTGAGTGGTGCATGGTGTTGGTGAAGGGGTTAAGGGTAGGTTTGATGTGGGTGTTGAAGGAAGAGGTTGGTTTAGTTGTGTTGGTGGGGTAGTAGGTTCTTCATCGGTTGAAGAGCTTAACACGATGGGCTCTTGGGTTTTAGCGAAGGGAACTTGTATATTTACATCTTCAGAGGGCAGAGCCTCTGGTTC